CCTCCGGAGCCACCTCCTCTGCTCCCAAGGCGCCTGGCATATAATGACCTGGGGGCACTCCTATTCCTTGTGATGCCAGCCCGCTGGGGCACAAACTGTTCACCTCGTAGCCCCCCTCAGGGCTTGACACAGAGGTGTCCAATGAATCCTTGCTGATTTATTGATCCCCCATGTTGGCAATCCAACCCCAGTCAGCTTTTTTGACATCCTCCCTCGAGATCTTTTCAATAACCCCAGGAAATGCTGGCAAATGCTAGCAGGCTGATTTTTTTTTTAAGATTTTAATTTCTTTTGTTAATGCTCAACCAAGGGTATTTTTTCTATTGATTTTTAGAGTGGAAGGGAGGGGGAAAGACAGAGAGAGAAGCATCAATTGGTTGCCTCCTGCAAGTGCCCTGACGTGGGCCGGGATCAAACCTGCCACCAAGGTGCGTGCCCTTGACTGGAATCGATCCTGGGACCTTTTAGTCCTGGGGCTGACGCTCTAACCACTGAGCAACCGGCTGGGGCTGAGTGAGAACAACAGGAAATCCTGGGGTCTGGAGAGCGGTGTCTGGCAAGAAAAGTACATTGGGCTTCCTGACCCCCTGAAGGACCCCCAGATGTTTTCTGGAATATGTTCATCTCTGCCATCATTTACCAAAGAAACCTTCTTTTAGAAAATAGAGTCGAAAACATCCATGATCTATAAAATAGGAATGACTTTGTAGCAAAATAACAAATTGTGGGTTTTTTTAAAAATAAGGGAGGCCCTAGCCAGTTTGCCTCAGTGGATAGAGCAATGGCCTGTAGACTGAAGAGTCCAAGGTGAGATTCTGGTCAAGGGCATATACCTCAGTTGCACACTCGATTCCCAGCCTTGGTCGGGGCACTTGCAGGAGGCAACCAATTGATGTTTCTCTCTCTGTCTCTCCCCCTCCCTTCCACGCTCTCTAAAAGTCAATGGGAAAATATCCTTGGGTGAGGATTAAAAAAAAAAAAAAAAAAGGAGCCCCCTAGCTAATTTAGTTCAGTGGATAGAGCATCAGCCCACAGACTGAGGGGTCTTGGAATCGATTCTGGTCAAGGGCATGTACTTTGGTTGCAGATTCGATACCCAGGTTGGAGCAGGCAACCAATCGATGTGTCTCTCTCACATCGATGTTTCTCTCTTCCCCCTTCCTTCCACTCTCTCTGAAAATCAATGGAGAAAATGTCCTCGGGTGAGGATTAACAACAACAAAACAATAAGGGGAAATGTGAAAGGGCAACCCTGTATACAGAGTTGTGGTCAGTGTATAATGTAAGCTATTGATTGGTAGAGAAAGGCAAGAACACGGAGAAGTACAATGTATAATGGTTACCATTTATTAATTACTTACCATGGTCTACGCACTAGGCGCAATGTTCTCTACCCGTATGACCTCATTTAATCCTCATGACCATTCTAAAAAGCAGGAATTAAACTCCCCCAGGTTACAGGCTCAGAAAGGTTAAGTAACTTTCCCAAGATCAAACAGCTGAGAATGGAACCCAGGTCTAACAGCAATGCCCAAGGGTTATTTAATACTAACTTTTCCCTTTTATATCATATCTGACTACATTTTTAAAATCTCAGTTAAACATAATTTAATTCCTGTCTTGGTGAACAGGGTAGGCAGACCATGTTTGAATCTGAAGGCTCCAGAGCTCCCAAGCTTCAGGGCCCACCACGCAGACCAACCTGGGGCCACAGACACACAAAGGAGACCATCCTGAATGGCCTTAGTTTTATTTTTAACAAAGTCGTCATCTCACCTTATGATTTACCTCCCTTCTTAAAATTCAGGAAATATGGTAAAGCTCAGAGGACTAATTGCTTTGATCTAGTCACTTCCTAAAAACCAATGAGAAACAGGTTAATAATCTAACTTTTCTTAATGGGTCAAGGGTAGTAATAGGTAACTCATAGGAAATATAAACGGTCTAAGTTTTTTTAAATGTTCCTTCATTCATTTGAGAATTGCAGATTAAAACTATAGAGATGCCATTTTTCACCTGTTGGACTGGCTAAAACCAGAAAGCTCCATAAAAGCTCTCCCACCCCGGTGGCTGACAACTGGAGCCACCCCTTCTACAGAGCAATTCAGCGAGATCCATCATTACTGCACACATCCTCTGACTCAGGAGCCCCATTTCTGGAAACTCATCCTTCAGTTGTAGGTGAAAAATAACCCGCATATGCTATTTATGGCAGCAGTGGTTGCAATTGCAAAGGATTAGAAAAACCAAAATACCCCTTCGTCAAAAGAGGCCTGGTTAAGTAGATTATGGAATATCCATACACACATGCCCCCCCAACCAAGGACAGCGACGCGCTTTCAGTGGCCAGGGAACTCTTCAAAATACTTTAAGTGGGGAAAAAGAAACACACGAGAAACTGATAATCAGATCAGCTTATGGTCGGGGTGGGGAAGTGGGCAGCTGGGGTGAGAGACTTCACTGTATATTCTTTAGTACCTTTTGAATTTTGAACCATGTGAAGTATCAGGTGTTCAGAAACACAAAATTACAGCCCTAACTGGTTTGGTTCAGCGGATAGAGCTTCGGCCTGCGGATTCAAGGGTCCCAGGTTCGATCCCGGTCAAGGGCATGTACCTTGGTTGCGGGCACATCCCCAGTGGAGAGTGTGCAGGAGGCAGCTGATCGATGTTTCTCTCTCATCGATGTTTCTAACTCTCTATCCCTCTCCCTTTCTCTCTGTAAAAACTCAATAAAATACATTTTTTTTAAAAAAAAATACACACTTCTCTTCACTTTAAAAAAAAAAAGAAAGAGAGAACCAAGATGGCGGCATAGGTTAACGCCGGAGTTTGCTGCTTTGAACAACTACTTCAAAAGTGAAACCAAAAAACGGAAGGGACATCACCCAGAACCACAGGAACGCTGGCTGAGTGGAAGTCCTACAACTAGGAGGAAAGAGAAACGCATACGGACACTCAGAGGAGGCGCAGTGCTGAAGTCAAATTCTGAGGTGCGGAGTGCGCGGAGCGGGCTGGCGGCGGAGGGCGCGGTTGGCGTTTTCAATCGGGAGGGAGTCGCAGACTCTGAGCTCCAGATCCGGGCGAGTCTTTAGCGACCCTGACTCAAACGGGAGAAGCGGGACTGTCTGGCTTCGGTCAGAGCGAGTGCAGCTTTCTCTCTGAGCTTTGCAGCGGGTGCTGGGACTCAGAGAGGCAGAGCCCCTGGGGACAGGACTGAGAGCCGCCATAACTGCTCTCTCCGGCCCACCCTGTTGATCCTGTGCGACCCGCCCCGCCCAAGCCCTGCACACAGGCATTTGCCGGATAGCCTCAGGCAAAGGCTAGATTAGCACCTCCCTAGAGGACAGAAGTTCTCTCACTGCTGACACAGCTGATTCTCATAGCCACTTGGCCTGGAGGTCAAACCCTCCCTGGAATTAGCTACAACATCAAGATTTAACTATAAGACTGTGAACAAAGACCACTAGGGGGTGCACCAAGGAAGCATAACAAAATGCGGAGACAAAGAAACAGGACAAAATTGTCAATGGAAGATATAGAGTTCAGAACCACACTTTTAAGGTCTCTCAAGAACTGTTTAGAAGCCGCCGATAAACTTAATGAGATCTACAAGAAAACTAATAAGACCCTCGATCTTATATTGGGGAACCAACTAGAAATTAAGCATACACGGACTGAAATAACGAATATTATACAGACTCCCGACAGCAGACCAGAGGAGCGCAAGAATCAAGTCAATGATTTGAAATGCGAGGAAGCAAAAAACACCCAACCGGAAAAGCAAAATGAAAAAAGAATCCAAAAATGCGAGGATAGTGTAAGGAGCCTTTGGGACAGCTTCAAGCGTACCAACATCAGAATTATAGGGGTGCCAGAAGATGAGAGAGAGCAAGATATTGAAAACCTATTTGAAGAAATAATGACAGAAAACTTCCCCCACCTGGTGAAAGAAATGGACTTACAGGTCCAAGAAGCGCGGAGAACCCCAAACAAAAGGAATCCAAAGAGGACCACACCAAGACACATCATAATTAAAATGCCAAGAGCAAAAGATAAAGAGAGAATCTTAAAAACAGCAAGAGAAAGAAACTCAGTTACCTACAAGGGAATGCCCATACGACTGTCAGCTGATTTCTCAACAGAAACTTTGCAGGCCAGAAGGGAGTGGCAAGAAATATTCAAAGTGATGAATACCAAGAACCTACAACCAAGATTACTTTATCCAGCAAAGCTATCATTCAGAATTGAAGGTCAGATAAAGATCTTCACAGATAAGGAAAAGCTAAAGGAGTTCATCACCACCAAACCAGGATTATATGAAATGCTGAAAGGTATCCTTTAAGAAGAGGAAGAGGAAGAAAAAGGTAAAGATACAAATTATGAACAACAAATATGCATCTATCAACAAGTGAATCTAAGAATCAAGTGAATAAATAATCTGATGAACAGAATGAACTGTTGATTATAATAGAATCAGGGACATAGAAAGGGAATGGACTGACTATTCCTGGGGGGGAAAGGGGTGTGGGAGATGCGGGAAGAGACTGGACAAAAATCGTGCACCTATGGATGAGGACAGTGGGTGGGGAGTGAGGGCGGAGGGTAGGGCGGGAACTGGGAGGAGGGGAGTTATGGGGGAAAAAAAAGAGGAACAAATGTAATAATCTGAACAATAAAGATTTAATTAAAAAAAAAAAAAAAAAAAAGAAAGAAACATAATTCAGCTAATTCAGTTACTGTACTCTCTCCTGCAGTATATCCTGCCTTACAGCAAACACATGGGGACTGTGAGCAGTGGCGACATCAGGTTGGGGGGGTCTGCCCCTGCCAGTTCAGGAAGGGGAGAAACCCTTAAGTCCACCAGCCCTGCACTTCCTTCCTCTGCCCACAGGTGGCGCTCTGAGGCCTGCTGCGCTGGACAGATGGCGGTGGCCTAGGGGGCACCCTGAGGCCTCAGGCTGCTGACCAAGATGCAAAGACACAGGCAGGCACAAGTACTTAACATAAAATAGAAACTAGTTTTATTTCTCTGGAAGAAGCAGGTATCCGTAGCTGGGACAGCCACTTTGGGGACAACACAGGGGAAGAGCTGGGGCAGAGGAAGCTCTAGTATCCCTCCAGGGAAACTACCCCTTTGGTCTCCTTCCAACCCTGGGGCCTTGGGCCCTGGTCCCTGCCAGAGAACTACTGGCACCAATGCTCTGCTTCCTGGGCCACTTCAGGCTATTTCCAGGCACAAGATCCTAAGAGCAGCCAAGTCCCAAAACACTGTCTATGGTGAGGCCATGAGTTACATCCTGCTGACACCCCAGAACCCAGGGACTCTCTGGAGAAGGACCCAGCCGCGTGCTAGTCCACCTTTCAGCGTGGCCAACACATCCTCCCCGCCCAAGGTCAAGCCTGGCTTTCCCCTGGCAGGACTCGGGGACACACTCCAGCGGCAGGCCTACCAGGGGGATGCAACCAGAGGCACGTCAGCCGCAGGCCTGCTGAGGCCACCCCCATGCTAGCCTTCACGGGCAACTTCTTGCACCTTGGCCTGGGGCACTGTGGGCTGAACCAAAGTTGCTGGGATGGTGCTGGGTGAGGGAGGGACAGGCAAGGCAGGGCTCCCAGCCTCCTGCTGCCTTAGCCTCGCTCTGCCAGTGGGTGTCCGCAGGTTCTCCAGGCCTGGGATGGGTATCTTCCCACCCTTGTCAGATGGACAGGCTCAAGTGATTCCTTCAGGGCAGATCTTCTGGCTCTCCAGACAGCTCAGCGTCTAAAGGAGGAAAAACAACCAGAAAACCCTTCCATCAACAGTGGCCAGTGCAGAGTATGTCCAGTGCAGGAGTATGCCCAGTGGGGAGTACGCCCAGTGGGGGAGTACGCCCCGTGGGGAGTACGCCCAGTGGGGAGTTCGCCCAGTGGGGGAGTATGCCCTGTGGGGAGTACGCCCAGTGGGGGAGTATGCCCCGTGGGGAGTACGCCCAGTGGGGAGTTCGCCCAGTGGGGGAGTACGCCCCGTGGGGAGTTCACCCAGTGGGGGAGTACGCCCAGTGGGGGAGTTCGCCCAGTGGGGGAGTTCGCCCAGTGGGGGAGTACGCCCAGTGGAGGAGTATGCCTAGTGTGTGAGGGCCTCTCTGTACCAGGCAAATCAGTTGAAAACTCGTAGTTCTAGGCAATAATTCTGGAACTTATCATCCTGGGATGCCCTTTTTCTTTACTTTAAGGAACTAAAATAAGAGACCAGCAGGATTGTGTATTAGAGTATCCAAGGTGACAGGCACAGTAAAGCCTAAATTTATTTGGATGCAAATTAGTAAGAATTTACTAATGGTGTCGTGTGTGCCAGACACTTGCTATGAAGTGTGACAGATGCATCCCTCATTAATTCTTCTACTCATGTGTGAGGCAGGCAGGGTCATTCAAACACAGACGAGGGCCCTGAGAGATGGGGACACGTGTAAGCTGATGCTATGTGTGAGCGGGCACTAGGCTCCAACCAGGACTGTCTGCTGCCACAGCCCAACCGCTCTGAATCCCACATCCCACCAGCGCCTCCCGGAATGATGCTGGAATTGACCCATTTCGCCACTTTGTAACTTGATAAAACTTTCATGTATGTATTTATATTACGTATCGCTGTATGTTATTTTTATAACTATTATTCTATTATATATACATATGTTTACATTTTTTTACAGAAAAGTAATGGGCTTTTTTGGTTACACATTCCTTTAAAAAGGCATTTATGCTCTAAATCAGCAGTTCTCAACCTGTGGGTCACGACCCCTTTAGGGGTCGAACGACCCTTTCACAGGGGTCGCCTGAGACCATCGGAAAACACATATATCATTACATATTGTTTTTGTGATTAATCACTATGCTTTAATTATGTTCAATTTGTAACAATGAAAATACATCCTGCATATCAGATATTTACATTACGATTCATAACAGTAGCAAAATTACAGTTATGAAGTAGCAATGAAACTAATTTTATGGTTGGGGGTCACCACAACATGAGGAACTGTATTAAAGGGTCGCGGCATTAGGAAGGTTGAGAACCACTGCTCTAAATGTTACTTTGAACTATGAGGTGCAGAGGTGAGAAATATGTATTTAAATCATTGGGTCCCAAACTGCTGTCCCCCACCCCCCCCCGGGGGTGGCTCGGGGTGCTGTGGGGCAGCTGGGGAAACAAGCCCCGGAAACCAGAGAGGCTCCAACGTCCGCTTTTACTCGTCAGTTCATTTGAACCACGTGGCTAAAAGTCTAAGTAAATGCACTGAGGAGAAACGGCGCTCACCCCGAACTCCCTGCGTCCTGGGATTGGGCCCAACTTCCCTCCTCCCAGCTGGGAGCCCGTGTCTCCTGGCTGTGTGTGGCTGCGGACACCCCTCGGGGAACAGGAGGGTGACAGGGGATGGGGCTCGCTTACTTGTGGTGGGCAGGGCCACAGGAGCCCAGAAGGTGGCAGCCGGCTTGCTCTAGGTTCCAGTCGAACATCTCCAGCACTTTGTGGCACTCACCTCGCGGCCGCAGACCCAACCCGAAAAGCTGCTCCACCTGAGGGCAGAGGGCGGTGCATGGGACACACGGGGCCAAGGGGAACCAGACAGGGTGGGGGCAGAGGAGAGCCAGAGGGGGCAGGGAGTGGGAGAGAGCAGCAGAGCCAGGCTTCAGGGTCCCTGAAAACCAGAGTGGGCAGGAGGCGGTGGTACCTTCAGATACTGGGCAGCCCTTTGCACGTTCCAGCTGTGGCTCTGCAGGGCCGCCTGGCACTCCTCTGTGGTCACCCCATGCACCATGGCCTGCAGCTGGGCATACCCACCCACCGGTCAGCACCAGTTGGTCCCATTCCTCTGGGCCCCTCAGACTCCTGCCCCCCTCACCCAACAGCCAGGCCTGATACTCACCATCTGGATCTTATCTGTTGGCCGTACAGCCTCTGGCCCGTCCCCTGGGCAGCCCCTCTGTGACAGCCAAGCGGTGGCCCTCAGGGCTGGCGGCCGGACCCCTGGATTGCTGTTGTTGGTGGAGAAGTTGGCCTTGGGGTCTGGGGCAGCCTGGGGCATGGGCCGAACAGTGGCAGTGGGGGCGGCAGGGGCTGGAGTGCTGGGTGGGGGCAGCAAGGGCACAGGCAAGGGGGCGGGTTCTTCGGGGCTCTGTGCCTCACGCAGGAAGCGCTGGTAGCGCTCCAGGTAGGGCGGGCGCTCAGGCAGCAGGTAGTAGTGGGTATTGCTGACCTTCTTGCCGTCGCGGACGATGGGCAGGATGCAGGGACCAGCCCGGGGGCCAGGTGCCTGGATCACCTGGGGTGTGGCGTACTTGGGGTCTGAGGCAAAGCTCTGGGTGGTGGGCATGGTCTTCCCAGGTGAACTCGAGAGCCGGGGTGGCAGCGGGGAGCTGCCCCGTGGCACGAGGGGACTGGGGGTCCTTGAACTTTGAGGGGACAGGGGCTCCCGGGGAGGCACCCGGGGAGGGGAGGCAGGTCCAGGCCACCGCCCCGTCTCCTCCTCACCCGACGGGGCTGGAGACAGCTCACCACGTGGGCGCGTGGGCCTCGGGGGGATAGGCACCCGGGGGGGCACCTGGGGCTTGTCCTCGCCCACGGGGCTGGGTGAGAGGACCAGGGAGCTGGCGGGGACCTGCAGCCTCAGCATGCACTCCTGCTGCAGAGCCTGGAAGATCTCTGCGGTCTGGGCCGAGGTGGGCGGCTTGCTGCCGCCCTGGGGTGGGAGGAACAGGTTGTCCTCCAGGGGAGCGAGGAGCCGCGCCTGCTCGGGCACGAAGCCGTAATTCGTCTCACCCTGGCTGGGCCCAGGAGAGACCCCGGCGCCCACCAGGGTGCTGTTGATGGAGCAGACTTCAAAGTCATCCTCGTCTTGGGCCACATCATCGTAGGCGGGGGGCGGCGGCAGCGGGCGTGCATCCCAGTCCACCACGGGCGTGGGGTGCAGGGGCCGGGGCAGGGCCCGCGTGGGGCTCTGCGGTGGGGTCTTGTCCAACAAGGAGCAGGCATCCATGGCCAGCTGCGCCAGCGAGGGTGTGCAGGGCCGCGGGGACGGGACCACCGGCTCCTCGCCGAAGTCAATGAGCGTGACCTCAGCGCCACTGCTGCCACCGCGGCCGGTCTTGGTGCCGGACACCCGGGCCGAGGGCTTTGTCAGCCACAGCCCCCGGGGCAAGCCCGGCTTCCTCACACCCAGCCTCTTGAAGTCGCTGGACAAGGGGTCTTGGTCCTCGCTCACGGGGTCATAGGTTGGTTCTGCAATGGACGGGAGACCCGGACAGGGGGGCAGTGTCAGGCAGGGGGACAGGGAAGGTGGGGTGTGGGAAGAAAGCCAACCGACTCCCCCGGCTCCCCCGGAAATTGGCCCTCGGCTGCCAGATTCTCAGTACACAGCAACCCCATTCACACAGGAGGGCAAAGCCTGCCCTGGACGCTGTCAGCACCTCCGCCTGGGCGGGTGAGCCCCTGTCTCCCTCAGCTAGAGCGACACCCACACCCACCTGCCTCTGCTGCCCCTGCATCAACACAAGACCCCAAATGCCCCTGCCCCTGGTTAGTAGCCCCTCCCCCTCCCCGTTACCACACACCATTAGTGCAGGCGGGAGCTACGGGGCAACCTCCCACACTGAGAGCAACAGGGGCTCCGGGCCCACCGTCGTGAAAGCCCAGCCTCTGCAGGTCGCACAGGGAGGGAGGCAGGCCAGGCAGGTGGAGAGGCAGAGGTGGGCACCAGAAGCCCAGGCTTTTCAGGGAGGGGGCGGGGCGGGAGGGGGGGAGTTGAAAGGAGAGGCAGGCATGCTGCGCCAGGTCAGCAGCCAAAGCTCACAGCACACTCACTCCCCCTCCCACCCAGCCAGCCACAGGGCTCTGTACCTTCCAGGAGAGGAGGAGGGAGAGGAGAGAGGGAGAGGGGGCGGGGGCCAAGGCGCCGAGAGCAGCCCCACTTACTCTTAGTGAAGATGGCAGGCTGAGGTGGGCGAGGTGGAGGCTCCCCTGCAGGAAGGGCCATGCAAAGAGTAGAGGGGGCAGAGCAGGACAGACAGAGGGCAAGGGAGGAAGGCAGAGCCAGACAGAGAGCAGAGGGTGGAGAGAGAGAGAGAGGAGAGAGAGAGAGTGAATAGGGGCGAGTGAACGTAGGGACTAAGAGCAATGGGAAGCAATGGGCGGCAGGATGGGGGCTGTTCCGGAGCGACAGGCCCGGGCCCAGGGGGTGGATGAGGCTCCTGGCCAAGATGAAGCCTGTGGGGTGGTTTTGGCTTAGGAGAGGAGAGGGGATTAGAGTGTGTGAGGAAGGCCTGGCCCTAGCATGGCGAGGAGGAGGAGGGTGAAGAGAGCTCAGGCAGCCGATGCAGGGCCGACCGAGGAGGCCCACCTCGGCGGATACAGCTGCCTCCCATCTCCCACCCCACACCCAGCTGGAGCCAGGGACACGACTGTCCCCCTGCTGTGCTGACCCAACCATCACAGAGCCAGGACAGCCGGCTCAGAGGTGGCCTGAGAGGACGGTGCCCTGGGCAGCCAATGAACTAGGGGACGCCAGGGAGTGGGGGCTCTTACTTTTCACCCTTCCCAGGTGCTGGGTGGGGCGGGAGGTGCTCAGTTCCACACTCAGCAGGTCGGGAGGGTCCATAGGATTTCCCAGATACAGTCTGTGGGGAGAGCACGGGGTCAGAGGGGGCCGGCGTGGAGTGGTGGCAGCGAGGACACCTCTGGAGGAGATGCTGGGGCTGCCCCCTGGGGTCAGGCGTCCAGGGCCCACCTCGACCAAGCCCTGCAGACATGGGTCTGGGGCACAGGACTCTGACTCCCAGCAGCTCCCTCCTGGAGAGCCAAGCTGTACCCAGGGGAGGGTGTTGTGGAGAGAGCAGGGAAAGGACTCCTGGCTGTCAAACAGCTAGGACTGTCGGGGCTCCAAGAACACCCTACAAGGGCAGAGCTGGCCCTCTGCAACCCCCACGGCACCCCAACCCACACCCAGCAGCCACCTGCTGGCACGCTTTCTTCTCTCCTGCCAGGCCCGGAGGCATCCGGCTACACTCCCCGGTCAGGGTGGGCAGGAGACATCCTTCTGCCCCACTGCCAGGGGCGGGGCCACCGCCCTGCTCCCAGCTCACCCTCACCCCTGTGCCGACTGTCAGGATCTGGGACTTAGTCACCGGGGCTGATTAAAGCCTGGAGGAATGGGGCTGGGCTGGCCACGGCACGCCGGGAGCAGGGCAGAGGGCACCCGTCCTCCTGCGGGAGGGTGTCTGTGCTCTCCTGCCCCAACCCTCTCAGGCCCTCGCCTGGCTCTTGTGACTAAGACATACACACCAGCGCAGTGCTCTGGTGTGGGGAGCGTGGCGGTGAGGGGCCTGCCTCGCCATGCCCCAGGGCAGTCCTGTGTCCGAAGTCAGAGGAGCCAGGGCTGCGGAGAGGGGCCTGGAAGTCCCCGGGGCAGCAGAGGCTGGAGGCCTGGTAGGAGGAGCTTCCCGGGGGAGCCCTGGGGCAGGGCCCCCAGGAAGTGACTAATTCTGCTCCTCTCTGCTTCCCCAGGGGCCCCCCAGGGGCCTCATCCTTCCACTTAAAGGAGACGGAACCCCCCTCCCAGGTAGAGTGAGCAGGCAGGCGAAGCGCCGAACTGCTGCCAACATGAGCTCTGAGGTCTGCCCACAGGAGCTCTCTGTGCCGTGCACCCCGGGGCCGGCCCGGTACTCACTCATCGATCTTGTCGGGAAAGCCCCAGCAGTGGCGGGGGTCGCTGTCGCCATGGCCCGTGTGAATGAAGCTGTTCTGCAGGGGCTGGCTGATGTCCTGGGCTGACAGGCCGGCCACGGAGGTCACCACGTTTCGGGGGAAGGGCCCCACGCACAGCGTCCGTGTGTTCTGCCCGCGCCACCAGTAGTTCTCAGCCCTGCCCGAGAGAGATGACGTGGTAAACACCGGGTGTGGTGGGACGGCCCGAGGAGCAGGACCCTTCCACACCACGCTCTTCCGCGAGGCTATCGAACCCCGCTGGCAGGAGCAGACGGGAAGGCCACGGCCCAGGACCAGGCTGGTCTGCCGTCAGCCCGCCCCCTCCCAGCAGCCCCCCATGACCACACCTGGGGCACAGGGCCTGGCTGTTTGCACAAAGCCTTAAGCTACCTAGGTGGGTCCCGCAGCTCTTCCTAAACTTCACAATAACGAAACAGGTCCAAACAAGTGACACGGCTTGCCTGCTGTTACCGGAAAGATCGCAGAAGACCCAGGATTCAAACCCAGTTGTTAGTCTGTAAAGCCAGGGCCCTTCTGCCAACAGTGTCACCTCTCCTGCCTCCTCCCCTGACCAGGCCTGGGCTCTGGTCCTTCTCTTGCCACCCGATTTCACGCTCCAGCCCAGTACCAAGAGTTCCGAGCTTCAGGGGTCCACGGGCGCACCATGGCCTTAGCACTGGGCATGAAGCCAAGCGCTCCCACCACAGCCTACATGCAGCTCTTCACATGTGGAAGCATTTGGGGCAACCCACACGTCACCGCACCCATTTACATGTCGCCAGTGCCTTCCACCAGCTCCCGGCAGGGCTGTGGGGCCTCGCCCTTGCCCCATCCACCTCCTTGGAGGAGCTCTCCTCCTGTCTTAAACCAGGATACAGAAAGGAGCCCAGCCTCCCGGTGTGGCTGGACCACCAGCACCTCGCTCTGACCTCAGACACAAAACCTGGTAGGCAGCCTGAGCCTCCTGGCGGGCGGTAGGCGGGGCGGGGGGGTGGGGGGGCAGGAAGGCAAAGAGAACAGAGCGCCCTCCTGGACCCTTCAACACCAATAAGCCACAGGCCCTAAGGCTCCCACCTCTGCTGCTGGGACCACTCACCCCAAGAACATGGCAGAATCAGGGCCAAGGCAGAGGTGTGACAGCCGCATGCTGCCGTGGTGGACTCCTGCGGCACCCAGGTGCGTGCTCTCACTGTCAGCCCCCACCCATACCTCACCTGTCCCAGCCAGGAGTGTAGAGGAAGCCTCCTCCAAACTGCAGCTAGACCGGAGGGACTGGAGGCTGGAAGGAGGCGGTGAGGCCTGAGCACCTGGACCCTCCTCTGGGAGGGGATGCGACCCACTGGGGCAGCAGCAGCCCCAAAGTCGATCCCATGAGCATCACAGTCCTCGGGGAGCCGAGAGGTGAGGCGAAGGACAGGAGCCCAGCCTCCTTGTAAACAAGGCCACTGACCGGCCCACCACAGACACAGCCACCCTGTGATTACCACCCTGCCCTCCGGGGGGGAAGGGCAGGAAAGGAAGGAAGGAGAGAGGACAACACCCGGGAAGGAAGGAAGAAAGCCCATCCGAAAATAGCAGGGCCATGCCAAGGAGAAAATGCTCCCCCACCCCAGGGCCGACAGAGGGGGAGGCCGCCTGTGAAGAGGGAGGGAGGCATGTCTGGCATTGGGGACCTGCTGCTGCTCTCCCCAACACTCACTGGCTCCCTCGGTTCTGCGGACCCTCCACGGAACTGTTTTAGACACCAGCCCCGGGGCGGAACACTGGACTCTGCTCGATACGCCTCGTCAGAGGCCCCCGCTATCCTGGGTGAGCAGCACGGCGGAGGCGGAGATGCCGTGCAGAGGCCGGGGCCGCGGCCTCCCCTCGGTATGGGCCTGCGCAAAGCCAGACTGGCAGGAGGTCACCCGCTCCGCTTCTTTCCTTTGCCAACAAGCCAAGCTCCTTCCACAGGAGCCTCACGTGGACTCACTTCGGAGAGCACGATGGGACGCCAAGCCCACCTCCCTCATTACAGGGATGGCGAGCTGAGAGCCCCATGCCTGCTGGGCGTCCTGACACCCCTCAAAAACATCCTGTTCCTAGGGGGAAGTCAGAGTGCAGAGTGTGAGTGAGTGTGAGTGTGAGTGTGAGTGTGTGAAAGAGGCCCCTTGGGAATTGCACCCCAAGCACAACGGCCGGCAAGACTCAAATGTACCTCCTGAGACAGCCAATGAGTTGGCCAATGCTGCGTCCCCTGAGGCTCAGTGGGGCTGAGGTACCAAGCCCAGTGCTCCCCACCAGCCTGCTCTGGCCACACCCTCCCTTCCCCTTCCACCAACAGGCGAGTCTCCACGGCAACAAGAGGACCAGGCCCACCATGCCATCAGTCACTGCTGCGAAGACAGACACAGAGCGGGAGTCCCTAGGGGAGTGAGAGGGCCCAGTACCTCCAGCAAGAATGTTCTACTTCCTGCTTCCTGCCAGTGTCCTGGGACAGGCAAAATATGACACAGCACCTCGGAAACCCAGGTCTGGCTGCAGTGGCCCCAGCCCCATTGGGAACCAGCCTCTGAAATCCCATCCCCGGTCCCAGTCCTGGCCTAAGGTGATCCAGAAATGGCTGACAGATGTTGGTTACGCATTCAAACCCACCCAGCCCACTTCCCTCTAGTGTCCCAGGAGCTCTGGGCTCGAGGAACAACACAGACCTTGCCCCCCGCTGCCCCACATTCTAAAGGCATCGGAGGCTCCAGGGACCAGGCAGGCCAGGACCTCAGGACTGCAAAGCCTTGTCCCTGTTTTCAGTTCTGTAAACACAGAAGAGAGAAGTGCTCCCAGCCATCCCAGCCTCCAAGTAAGAACCCCGGAGACGAACAGGCACCGTCCGCCCATTCTAGACCGAGCCCCCACAAGCGCGGCTCACACAGCATCGAGGGGTCTCTCTGCCTACTGCCCGGTACCCCGAGAAGCACTGAACTTCATACAGAATCAGCCAGAGCGAGGACAAGGGGGTTCCCAGACTCCGGACTAGGAAACCAATACTGGGGATAGCTTCCGGCAGACTAACTCGAGACCGACAGAAGAGGGCAGATATGGGGAGAGCTGAGAGCCAGGCTGAGAGGAGACAGAGAAACAGCCAGCAACCCACATGTACAAGCACAGACCCGAAGCGACACCCAGGAGCAGAGAGCCCATCCACCGGACACACGGACGGAGACAGAGCCAGCCCCACAGAGATCCGGGCCCTGGGAAGACAGGGGGCAGAGCTGAAGCTCTGGTACCACTGACCTACGGGCCCGCTCCCAAAGCCCCACCGGCTACGGCCTCCCGCCCCTCACCTCCCACTCCGAGAAGCTCCAGGGACCAAGGGCAGGCGCTGTGGTCCACGTCGCTGGTGCCCTGGAGGAGCCTGGCGAGCCCACACTGGCAGGCAGCAGGCAGTCTGTGACAGAAGGCAGGGCAGGGCATGCCCACAGCAGCCTCCTGGGAGGAGCGGTCCCCCCTCCCCCCTCCTCCCCTTTCCTCCTCCCTTCTTTGCTCCGGAGGTGACCCGGGGTGCCAGCTCCAGAGACACACGCCTTAGAAACACAAGGCGCTTCTGAGTCACCCGAGGAACACGGGGCCCGGCACCCAGAACCCCCACGAGAGCAGGGCCGGGGCGAGCGAGGGTCTGGGCCCTCCTCTGTGAGGGATGCGACCCCCTGGGGCGGCAGCAGCCCCAAACGGCGTGTGCAGGGCACAGAGGGGCCGGGGTCCTGGGGTCCTGGAGGTGGGGATGGCTGTAGCCCAGACTCCTGGCTTGCGAGCTGCCATGCACCTCCAGAGGGGCCCTTGCCCTAATCTTCCTATTTCCAGAAAGTTCCCCAAAAGGCCAGGCCTGCAGTCCCTCTCCTGGCCCCTCCGCTCCAAACCACAGCCTACGTTCCTTCCTGCCCCTCAGGCCTCTATCCTAGAAGCTCTCTGCTTTCATCCACCGCCACCAACACGCTGGTTTTAATTCTTCTTCCCAGATACTGTGCCCAAAGGCGAGGGGAGCCCGGCCGAGGGATGAGGTGCGGGGCCACGGCAGGCGCAGCCATGTTCCTCCACAACCAGCCTGGTCCCAGCACCGGCTCCATCGCTGACTCAGCCCAGAGGTTCTGCCCTGTCGCCAGCCCCCACGTGGCACAAGGTTTAACCAAAGGCCCCGGCCCCCAAGCCTGAGGCCCAGGTGGAAAGGGCTCTGTGGGGAAACAGCCTCTGTCCCCGTCCCTGCCTGCTTCCGAATCAGAGGAGCCGGGGCACAGGGCATTTCCTCTCTCCCCCTCCCTTCCGGCCCTCCATGCCCACCACCTACTCCAAAGGCACCTCCAGCTTGCCCTGCCCGAACCAGTTCCTCAGACACCCCGAGGCTCAGATAACAGAGGACGGGGTGAGCGGTGGGTGGGGCTCCAAGCCTGCGGGAGCTGCTGGTCGGAGATGTGACTCAGAAGATGCTGCCCATAGGCAGACAGACACGCTGCCAGGAGTGAAGGGCACGGGAGGCTCAGGAACAGAGGCCCTGAGAGGGGAGCCTGAGGACGGGGGTCAGGGTGAGGGGCCCAGCAGGACGGAGGGGAGCCCTGGGAGGCAGCAGTGGGGCTCAGAGGGAGGGTGGAGGCTGCCAGGATGGGCGTGGGGCTGCCCTGGGGTTCTGAAATGCACCCAGCTGTGTAGTTAAGAGTCCTTATCGGGCCCCACCTGGGTGGCTCAGTTGGCCGGAGCATCGTCCCATACACGAAAAAGGCTGTGGGTTTCACTTCGGTCATGGCACACCCCTAATTTGTAGATTTGATCCCCAGTCGGGGCAGGCGTGGGAGGCAACTGTTCGATGTTTTCCTCTCACATCGATGTTTCTCTCTCTCTCCATTATTCTCTCTCCAAAATCAATGAACATATTCCTCAGGTGAGAATTAAAAAAAAAAAGAGTCCTGACCCTGGGAGGAGGTGGGAAGGGAAGGGGAGGACGAGAGGAGGAATGTTTAGGAGTTCCAGCGTCTCCAGGTATGGCCCCGAGGCCTGGCTGCCTCACCACCATGGCAGTTTGGCCCTGACCCACACAGCCAGGGCTGGAGCCGAGTGGGAGAAGGGTGACGGAGGCGGACTTCGCAGGGAAATCCCTCTGAGGGTGCCCCTGCAGACCTAACCCCAGCACTCAGATGCAGACCCAGCCCTGTCCTCCCTGCCATTGCGCAGCTCAAGCCTACCACAGCCTGCGTACTGCCAAGAGCACCTTGGAGGCAGGACCTTGGAGAACCTCTTGGCCAGCAGGCCCTCCACCCTGCACCCTTCAAGGCAGTGCAGGTGCAGCCCCAGGCTCCCTACCTCCCCTCGATGACGGTGATGACATCATTCATCTGGATGTGCAGCTTGTCTGGTTCCTCAAAGTCCTGGAGGGCCCGCATGTCAGTGGGCTGGGCCTGAGGGTAGAGACAGGTCACTCCCCACTCTGGGGCTGACCCCTGCGTGGATACCCCAGGACCCGTGGGCAGACCTGCCCTTACCTCCAGCAGGAAGTCCCTCAGGGCCACAAAGGTGGGTCTGTCCTCTGGTTTGTGAGCCCAGCACTGGACCATGACGTTGTAGATGTCTTGGGGGCAGTCCTCGGGCCGGGGAAGACGCTCCCCTTCCTTGTCAATCTTATGCAGGATCTGGAGAGCGGGTGCAGTTTGAGTACAAGCAGAGCACCCAGCTTTTCACTTCCCACCCTCCCTCCGTCCCATGGAACAACTGGCGCTTTGGGCGGCCATGCCCGCACCCCAGAGAAGAGGCCAGCTTCTTCTGGGGGCAGAGTCTATCCCCGGGCCCCTGAACAGGTGGCTGTGGCAAGGACTAAGAATGGGAGCAAGCCCCACCTGCTTCTTTCCTGACCTCTGGGGGCCCTTGTCTTTGCTCCGCTTTCTGAGAGGGCACACAGACATGGAGCCTGGGGGACAGGACTCCAGCAGGTAAAAGCCAGTTCCAACAGGGCCAGGCTGGGAGCCAGGATTCAAATCAACCCCCTCCCACCCTGCAGGGAGCACATCCCCAGCCCCTCACCTGACTGCCATTAAGGCCAATCCAGGGCTCCTGGCCATAGGTGAACATCTCCCACAACGTTACCCCGAACATCCAGGTGTCGCTGGCATGGGAGAAGGTGCGTGTCTTCAGGCTCTCGGGGGCACACCTGGCAAAGGCAGGGGTCAAACAGAGGCCTCTCCGAGCATCCCCGCCCACACCAGCCCCAGTGGACATACATGCTCACTCAACAAACATGTTGCTGCCCCATGTTCTGGGCTCAACAGCAGGTACTAGGGACGTATGAAGGGGAAGTGCAGCGCGTCTGAACTATGGGATACACAGACTTGCAGAAAATGATGAATGCTCAGGTTTTTACACACATGCGGCCTACAGTGGGAAGAGGGTGAAGCTGCCAGGTCAGGAAAGCAGGGAAAGGAAGACGGTCAGAGGCTCTAGGAGGGGCAGAGGGAGGGGGACAGAGCTCCGGCTGTTTTATAATTGTGGTGGGAGGATGACAACTTCCAGATTTGGGGCAGGATGCTAGCATCTGGGTCATTTCAGCAGGAAGGTGTGGGTGGGAAATTTGGATAGGGCCTGGGGAAGAACAAAAACGGGTGAAAACAGTCACACCAGAACACGCCAATATCCGCACACGCTCTCTGGGATGCCCTCTGGGTGAGGAGGACAAGCACCACTGCAGCGAGGCTGGCAAAGGGGAATTCCAGCAGCGCTGAGGCGCAGCGGGAGGAGGAAGCCACTCTGGATGAAGACTCAAAGGACCTCTCATGGGACTGGAGAGCTGGCCCTGCCACTCAAAGGGGGTGGGGCCAGAGAAGGTCACTCTCAGCCTCCTAGTCCTCATCTGTGAAATGGGAATAATAATAATCTGCTCACTTCACAGAGCTGTTCCAAGGGGGCTGCATAAACATAGGTGACCTTACAATTACCACCCAAACCAGGATGCTTGGGTGTGAAAGGGGTGCTATCAACTCCTCCAGGACAACAGGCACAGCCCAGGATGCATGATCCCCTAGTATAAGGTCAGTTACTAAGCAGGGTGACTGTACATCCTGGATTAGAAGGTTTTCTGGCCAGCTGAACCAGACCGACTCCTCCCGCCTCAAAGCAGGGAGACCAAGCTCCTGTGGGTGCCTTCGACACCAGAAGACGACGCTGCTCTCAGCACAGGACTGGCTCACTCAGGGGCCAGGCAGGGCCAAGGACCACCTTGTGTGCAGGTGAACATCCCTGCTCAGTCGACAAAGTCTAGCCTGGCCTGGCCCTGCCTTCCGCTAGCTCTACCTGGAACATGCTTATCAGCCAGTCTTTACCTGGCTAACTTCTGGTATTTTAGGAGCGTAATACTGAGTCCTCCCGAAAGCCCCTTTCCCTGTGTGTTCCCGTGCCGGACACATGAAAATTCCTGAATGAATGAGTGAATGAATGGGCACACAAGGACACCCCGCCCAGAGGAGACCAGGCTGCTGTGGGCATAAAGGATCCAGGTACTCCGAGCCTCGGTGTGCAGGGACCAGGGTGGGGTGGGGGGGGTCCGGGCTCTGTGAGCTGGCGGCACCGGCCCCTCACCAGGCAAAGGGCACCTTGCGATGCTCCTGCATGACGTAGTGGTCGTCATTCTGGGGGAGTGCTCGCATCAGCCCGAAGTCCCCGATCTTGACCAGGTCGCGGGTGGCCAGCAGCAGATTGCGGGCAGCCAGGTCACGGTGAATAAAGCGCTTGGACTCCAGGTAGCCCATGCCCTCGGCCACCTGCACAGCATAGCGGCTCAGAGTACCCAGAAGGAAGTGGCCCTGGTGCTTGCGAAGCCGGTCCAGCAATGATCCCAGAGGCGCCAGCTCCGTCACCTGAGGCCACAGAGAAGGTGGGAGGAGTAAGTGTGGCTGAGCCCTGCCCCCCTCAGCATCCTGCCAGAGCCACGCTCCATGCTCCTTCCTGGCCTGGCCTCTGCGGGCCTCTAGGAGTCCTACAGCTTCCCCGGCCTCTCTCTCTGGGCAATGTGGGAAACTGAGGCCCAGAGAAGCAACCCGAAGAGGCTCATGTTAGAAATTCCAAAGATTACACTCTAGGACCAGCTCCTCCCATAGGCGTTACTCTGCCAATGAATACAAGCAAAACCCAGAGGTGGGCATGGGCTCCGAAGGACACGGTCAGTCCCAGGCTAGGGGCCCCTGTGAGCCCTTTGCCACATCAAGTGGGGGACCAAAGCAGGATCTGGGGGGACCTCTGACCTTTGTCAGGATGGGAGTAACCACACCACAGGCAGGAGAAGGGGCGGACCTGGGGCCCGGAGACCACAGCCAACGCCCACGCACAGCACTCACCATCTTCATGGGTGGCGTGAGCACCACACCATAGAGGCGAATGAGGTTTCGGTGGTCAAGCGAATGCATGGCGTTGACTTCCCGGATGAAGTCGTCCATGGCCTCTGGCTGGCTCAGCACATCAGGCTTCAGGCACTTCACAGCCACACTCACCTGCCCAGAGTGGAGATTGCACGGAGTCAGGACAGGCCCCAGCCCCCAGCGCCCAACACTCTGAGCCAACCTGCTCCTCCCTCCAACTAAGCTCAAACATCCTGGCTTCAGATCTGCTCATCTGGGTGGGTGAGCATGTCACAGGTGCCCTGGCCTGGCTGGGGAAGGGCAGCTGACTGACCCCCAGAGCCATTGGCTGGGCCTTCCTTTCCTGAGGGAATGCCCAGATTAAATGGCAACCATTTGGTAAAGATGACCAGTGTGATGATAGGATAGTAAAATGTGATAAAATGTTATAAAACATTAAAAATGGTTTGGTGTAGGAGAAAAATGCTTTAAATCTAATCCCAAACCACTAATCTATGGTGACAGAAGTCAGAACAGTGGCCTTCCCAAGAGGTAGGAGACACTCAGCGCAGAAGGGAGGAGGCCCTGGTGGCGGGAAATGCCCATACCATGGTCTGGGTGTGGTTGCCTGCGTCTGTGCACAGGTGAACACTCACTGAGCTGGACACTCAGGAGCTGCGCCTTTATTATATACATGCTATGGATGCCTCTGGGAGGAAATTTCAAATAAAATACCAAGAGAGCTAACCGGTTTGGCTCAGTGGATAGAGCGTCGGCCTGCGGACTGAAAGGTCCCAGGTTCGATTCCGGTCAAGGGCATGTACCTTGGTTGCGGGCACATCCCCAGTAGGGGGTGTGTAGGAGGCAGCTGATCGATGTTTCTAACTCTCTATCCCTCTCCCTTCCTCTCAGTAAAAAATCAATAAAATATATTTCAAAAAATAAATAAAATACCAAGAGAAAGGGCAAGAATTTAGAAGTTGTATTTAAAATTTGTATCTTAACTAAATTCAACAAAATACCTGAGGGGGGTGGGCAAGAACTCTGCAACCTGTCCCCTGCCCCCTTCACATCCTAGCCAAGGGGACAGAGCCACTCTGAGGGCAGAGTGGGGTCTCTGCCGGTCTCCTGGGAGCCTGTCCCCTTGCTACACCCCACAGGACCCGGGCAGCTCACCGTCTTCCCCGAGGGGGCGTCCCACTCGCCCCTGCGCACCACGCCAAAGGAGCCGTCTCCGAGCTTCTCGAAGAGATGCAGGTCCTTCTCCCCAATGAGGCAGGTGAGGCTCTGCAGGGGCCCCTCCCCTGCGGGGCCACCAGGGGTGGGCGAGGTCTTCGGGAAGGCGCTCTGAGAGTGATGAGGGGGGAACTCAGCCTCCAGCCGCTTTCCACTGAACACCTGTTTGAAGGCAGCCAGAGGCCAGATGGAACCCTGAGGCCACAGTCCTGCCCCAGCGGGCCCTCATGTAGCCTCCAGATAGGTCCTGGCTTTGCCAAACTGCCTGGGGGGGGGGGGGGGCAGCCTGGCTGGAGGTCCAAGCCCCCTCCTGACCACACCCCCAAGACAGGAACCCAGAGCTTCAGTGTGGCCTCAGGGTGTGTGTGTGGTAGAAATGGACTGACAGGCATGTAGCTTGTGGCTACTGTGGCCCCACACCCAGCTGGGGGATCCGGGGCAGCCCAAAGCTACACTAGGCACCACCTTCTACCCCGTCCATCCCTTTCTGCACCCCCTCCCCAGAAGAGACTCCAGGCCCTAACTGGAGCAGATGGGTAGGAGCCTAAGGGGCCTGCCACAAACACCTCTCTGTCCATTTTTAGCCTTGGCCCCTTCTCTGGGCTGCCCATTTGGTGCTGTCTGTCTCCACCCTCCCTGGGGAGCTGGCTGCCCTTCTTCCTGCCAGAGCAGAGGATAATTTGAGCCTGAGGTTAGCTTGTGAGTGTGTGTGGGGTGCAGATGAAGCAAGGCCTTGCTGGGGAAGGGCCTGGGAAGACAGCTGGGTTTCTGGAGGGCCGCCGAGAGCTGAGGGCTGAGAAAGAAGGGAGACGAGAGAGAAAGAACTCTGCAGCCTGAGCTGAACAGGGAAGGGGACAAAAGTCAGGGGACAGGAGGAAAGAGGCCTTGAGGTCAGGGCTGGCCTGTCAGTTGGATTTGGCCACCCCTACAAAGCCTTGGCTTCAGGCTGCAGAGCCTACCCAGCCGGGCCCCTGCCCCCAAAGCTGGCAGAGTCTTATCTGTACAGACAGTCTCCAATCTGAGGGCCTCTTCTGGCTGCTGCTCTGTCCTTCCTCCCAGTAACTGGAATCCCTGACGCTTGCAAACAATGTTCAGCTGACAGGACCGTGCACACAGCCGGTGAGGTGAGGTGAGCCGGGCAAGTGTGGCAGCACCGTCTGACTGAAGACAAGCCTCACGCCTCAAGTCTGGAGAGGTTCAAGGACCGGCCCGGGAACCTCCTGCGAGTCCGTGGTAGATCCAAGACCCCGGAAACCTGGCACACTGCACAGCCTTTCCCTCCTGCCTTCACCGCCTCAACATGCTCATTCTTCCCTAAAACCTGGGCAAGGGACCAGGACAGTGTCCCCAGAAAAGGCCACAGGATCCCAAGAGACAGCCCCTTTGCCAGATCGCAGCCAGGAAATCTCTGCTGTCCAATCCAGTCCAACTGTGCTGCCCTGCCTGTCCCCCACCCCAGCCCGGAGGCCAGAAGTGGGGAGGGAAGGCCCTGGCTGTTTCATTTCCTCCCGCATTGTCTTCCAGACAATGGGCAAAGCTCCACTGAGTCAGACCAGGGACTCACCACTCCACAGACCCAAATTAGGACAAAGGAGAGGGAAAGAGGGGAGCCTGTGGGGAAAGAAGCTGTCAGCAAGGCCAGATGACCAGAGGAACCCTCCACAGCCTGAGGAGGGCGGGGAGGAGGGAAGCAAAGCAAAGATGTGCTGGGTCCAGACAGTCCGCACTACCCCAGGCTTGACACCAGCCCCAAAACTCAGACAGAGCAAGGGCTCAAGTTACGGTGTACTTGTCAACCAGTGCCTGCTGCAGGCCCGGCACCATCGCAGAGCGGGAGCGGATGTGAAGCCATGGCTGTACACAGGCTACTCACGTGCCGTCTCTAGCGGAGACAGACACTTAGCCAGGCAGCTCCACAAGTGCCCTGCCCGATAAGATCCTGGAGGAGGGAGGTCTGTACAAAGTGTGAGATTATACTGCCCAGGAATGGGGGGAGTTCCCTAGGACGGACATCAGAGTGGGGCCCCACGAGGCTGCTCCAGCCCGTCTCCCTCCTCAGCCACCTACCTTGCTCATCCAGGACTTGCGCTTGCACATGGCCTTTCTCCTCTTCACAGCCTCCCACAGCCGCCGCTGGCCTGCAGGGGGGACAGGAGCCCAATGTTATTAAGGCTCACGCCCCCCGAGAGGCTGCTGCCCACTGCAGGCTCCCTCTGTCTCCCGTGGTGAGTCCACCACTAGATACTGCCCAGCACAATGAAACCAAGGAAACAAACCATCCCAACCAACCAGGGGCTGCAATTATTAGATGATCCTGCATTCCATTTCTAGGCAGTGGTTCTTGAATTGGATGGAGGTATTTAACCACCAACACTGAACAGTAGTTCTCTGTTCCCAATTTCCAAGAGCAAAGGAAATCAAGGTAATAGAATTTTCCCAATTTTGAGTTTTTCTCCCATAAAATTTTATTATCTTACTGACATCAGACACCAACTATCCAGGCCAAAAGTAGCAGAAGTCAATGTCTAATTCAGCACACTATTACTTATTGAGCTGCTTTAAGTTGAACGCACAAATAAGTTTCTATGTCCTATAAGGAACACCATGAGTTCTATATGCGGCAACCACTACTTTTAGGATCAATACATCCTGATTGACCAGATCTTTCTGAGAGAGACAGAGAAAGAAAGACAGATCAAGAGAAAATCAGCAAACCATCTGAGGGTTTTTATCTTCTCTTCTTCACACAAATCTCTGGATACTGAACCCTGGTGTTCAAACTGGTGAATAGGACAGACTCAATTCTACAGGTACAGGTATAAAGGAAGAGAAGGTGGAAGAAATACATCCTGCAAATGTCTGAACAAACCAGAGGGCGGTAGTTAGTTCTGAGTAGCCAGAGCTTCAAGTGAGACTCCTCGAAGTCCCATTCACCTTTACAAGTGCAAACTGTTCTCACGCACTGACTGTGTGCGGCATCTGAGGCCCCTCCACCCCACCCGGGGGCTCTTGGACAGGCAGGGAGGGTTCTCAGCTATGCCACTCCATGCAGTATAGGGGGGAGGGCTCCTCCATGTGCTTGGCAATCCTGAGGACAGAGGAGGCAAACGGTCAGTGGGGAAACGACGAGCAAGGCCCACGTCCCCACCTACCAGGACGGCCCATGCCAATCTTCTCCAGGTCCTCATTCTTGACATACTCAAAGTGGGACAGGCGGGTGACATTGAGGTCGTCGCGGAGCCGCAGGAAGTACTGTTGCAGCTGCACCTCGGACAGCAGCTCCAGCAGCCAGCCCGTACCCTCTTCTGGCTGCATGCTGCTGCTCCCCAGCCTCTGTGGGGAAGAAAGAGTGAATCAGGGCCCGGCTGATGTGGCTCAGTGGTTGAGCATCGACCTATGAACCAGGGGGACATGGTTCGATTCCCTGTCAGGGCACATGCCTGGATTGCAGGCTCCATCCCCAGGGTGGGGCGTGCAGGCGGCAGCCAATCAATGATTCTCATCATGGATGTTTCTCTCTCTCCCTCTCCCTTCTTCTCTGAAATCAATAAAAATATTTTTTTTAAAGAATAAAAATGACAGCCATAAAAAATGAATATAATAAATAATTTTTAAAAATATTATTGTTGTTGTTTTAAAAAAAAGAATGAATCCAGGACCTAGGGATACAGGGAGGTAAAAGGGGACCCTGCCCGAGTGTGCTGGGCTCACCCACATCCTACTATGCTGCTTCCAGGACGGATTAAAATCACCTTCTTGCTCCTCAAAACAGCTGCACAGAATAGCAGATACCCACCTGCCCCCTTTCTTGCCAGCAACAAGGGTAGGATTAGGACAGTTGGGAGGCAGCCCAGGCGCTGGAGTCAGGGTCTTACTCACAAAATCTGTGGCTTGCCCTAGCTGGTTTGGCTCATAGATAGAGCGTTGGCCTGCAGACTAAAGGGTCCCAGGTTTGATTCCGGCCAAGGGCACATGCCCAGGTTGTGGACTCGATCCCCAGTAGGGGTGTGCAGGAGGCAGCCAATCAATGATTCTCTCTCACCATTGATGTTTCTATCTGTCTCTCCCTCTCTCTTCCTCTCTGAAATCAATAAATTAAAAAATTTTTAAAAAAAATCTGTGGCTCGGTGACCTGAGATCAACCTCTGTGATCTCCCTGTCGGCTCAAACTCCCTTGGGGTCACAAACCCTTTGAGAATTTGATGAAAATGATTTGGTCTCCAGGGGAAATAACACAGTCTTAATCATAAAGTTTCACTCAAAAAATTGGAGGTTACAAGGTCCCCTGAGACACCTCCATGGGTTTGTTCTCCAGACCTGAGGGACCCCACAGAAAGGACTCCGGGCTAGATGAGTCCTCCCAATGCTTGATATAGCAGAGCCTCTCTCCCCAACCCAAGGCCCTCCCCACAAGTGCCTCCAGGGCCACGAGTGGGAGACAGGTGGGGGCTTTCAGATCCAGCTCAAAGAGGCAGCATTGCTCAGCTCCTGTCAATGGCTATCACAATAGACTGAGGCCCAGTGTTACCAAAATTTGCAATTTTTTCAAGAAATACTAGCTATCTATATGTGAAATCTATAATAATAAAAGCATAATATGCTAATTAGACCGGATGTCCTTCCTGACGTCCTTCCAGGCGAAGTCGGGCTGCGAGGGAAGCCCGGGTCCCTGGTGCCTGCCGGCGGCCAGAGGGAAGCCCGGCTCCCGGGTGCCAGAGGGAAGCTGGTGCCGGCAGCCAGGGGAAGGAAGGCCTACTCTTGCACAAATTTCGTGCATCAGGTCTCTAGTCTTGCCATAATTTTTTTTTAAAGGTAATATAAGCACATGGTAAAATATTCAAAAGGCACACAGGAGCCATAAAGTCTCATTCCCTCCTCTATTGCACAGCCATCTAGCTTCCCTCCCCAAAGCCAAATGCCATCAATAACTTTGAAGATCTTTCCAGATTTTGTTTTGTTTTTTATTTTTTTTAAATATGTTTTATTGATTTTTTACAGAGAGGAAGGGAGAGAAATAGAGAGCCAGAAACATCGATGAGAGAGAAACATTGATCAGCTGCCTCCTGCACATCTCCCACTGGGGATATGCCCGCAACCAAGGTACATGCCCTTGACCAGAATCGAACCCGGGACCCTTCAGTCCGCAGGCCGACACTCTATCCGCTGAGCCAAACCGGCTTTGGCTGTTTTGTTTTTTAAAGAGGAGCTTTCTTCTAAAGCTTTTAATTCATTTATTTTTTTAATCCTCACCCAAGGGTATTTTTTCCATTGATTTTTCTAGAGAGTAGAAGGGAGGGAAGTGGGAGAGACAGACAGAGAAAGAAAGACATCCATTGGTTGCCTCCCGTTCACACCCCAACCCGCCCCAACGAGGGCCAGGGATCAAACCTGCATCCCAGGTATGTGTCCTTGAATGGTAATTGAATCTGTGACCCTTCGGTCCAAGGGCCAACACTCTAACCACTGAGCCAAACCAGCCAGGGCTTCCAGAGTTTGTGTCCCCCTGCCACACAAGTGGTGTAATTACACACACACACACACACACACACACACTGTTCTACATCATTCTGTTCCTTGTTTTCACTTAACATTATCTTTCTCCTCTGACTTTTTTGTTGTTGTTAATCCTCACCAGAGGATATTTTCCATTGATTTTTAGAGGGTAGAAGGAAGGAGGAGAGACAGAGAGAGAGAAACATCGATGTGAGAGAGACACATCAATTGGTTGCCTCCCGCATGAGCCTCGACCAGGGCCAGGGATCAAGCCTGCAACCGAGGTATGTGCCCTTGACTGGAATCAAACCCAGGACCCTGCAGTCCACAGGCCGACGCTCTATCCACAGAGTCAAACCGGCCAGGTATCTCCTGACTTTTTAACTATGTCAACTAATTCAAGTTTGACACACACACACACACACACACACACACACACACACACACACTCTCTCACATGACATTCTCTATGTTGGCCAAACAACATGTATTTGCAGGCCACCATCAGCCAAAGCCCCGCAGTGAGTGACCTCTGACCTACACTTTCTTGGGCCCAGAGAAAGAGGCCAGTGGCACCCTCAAAACCAAGCAACCTGAGCCACCAGACACCAAGCCCCTCCCTGTCCAAGTAAGACACCTCAGAGCTGAGAGCTTGGCCAGGCCAGCCCCGGGCCCATGTTCAATCCCAGAGGTATTTAACAGTGAGGAAACGGGCAAGAGGCAAGAGGTCAACTGCCCACGACCCCATCCTCCCTAACTCAGAGGTTGCCTTGTCCCTCGGCTCTCATCACGGGTCACACTGAAAAGCAGGCTCTCGGAGCCGCTCACAGCCTGGGCCCAGCACGAGCCTCCTGCCCCCACAGTTCCCAGAGGTGCTGCCAACCCAATGCCAGGAGTTCAGACTTTCCCAGGCAGCTCGGGGCGGTACAGAGAGTGACAAATGGGAACCAGAGGACCTCAGTTCAAACCCCGGTTGGCTCTCCTGCCAAGGTGGCTGGACCACGGGGGGTTTCCAAACTTTAAGCCGTAACCCTTTACCCAGAAGGTTCTCACAAAGGCTGGACCGCCCCCTAGAGGACGTTTCTGGTTGTCACAATGTTGGGGGGCCACTGGTGGTCTTTAGGGGAAACAAGAATGTGAGTTACCCTGTAATGCACAGGAGAGCATCACACACTGTCCCAAATCCCATACAACTTCATTCACGGAGGTGAAAAATTTGTAATCATCTGACTCTAGAGTCGAATTCCATTTCACATTTGAACAAAAAAATATTTTTGCAGTCTTGATACATACTGATTTTTTCTGGAATGGAACTGGCGTACTGTGTTAACTGAGGGAAAACTGGCCTTTGTTTTGTTCAGAACTTAGCAAAAGTTGTTCACTATTCAAAAAAAAAATGTCACTGAAGGCAACCCATCCTCATTCTCTCAAAACACCCCTCTCGGTCAGCACTTGTGGATGGTGCTTCGTGGTGGTGCTACAGGAGGTCTGAGCGTCGACTTCATTCTGTCAGAGTGTACTGACATAGAATGCATGAAGTGGTGTAATTACTTTTAATTCTTTTATAGTACAGGTGGCATTACATTTGCTGACTGACTGAACATAACATACACAGTAAGCATGCTATATTTCTATTAATTTTAAGAATAACAATAAAAATAACTAACACTTCAACTACTTCACTATATGCTGGGCACAGTGCCAAGCATTTAGCAGTATTAACTCATCCTCAGAAAACCATCTGTTATAAACAAGGGGTGTGGGCCTAAGAGGGAGGGACACCACTGCCTTCCAGAAGAAAACCCCAAAGGTGCACTGTGACATCACTGCCCTCGGAAAGTCTCCGTGGCCAGGGCCGGTGGGGCGGGGCCAGCTTTTTCACGGGCAACCCCTCCCCAACATGGCTCAGCCTCCAGATGGGGCTGGCCACCAGGGCAAGCGGTCTGAAGGTCCTCTCCTCTTCTTCCCCAGTGCCCCAATTCCAGGGCTCCAGGGTCCCCATGCCCACCCTCCTCTGGGACAGGAGGCAGCTCAAAGCCATGCTCTGGTGTTCAGGGCTAGGGAAGACCCAGAGGTCCCTCCCCTGAAGAGCACAGTCCAACCTGTTCCTCTCCCCTGAAATACCAGCTGACAAATCTCCCGACTCAGCTGGACACTCTCCTCCCTGCTCCCCAAGCCCAGGCAACAGGGCTGCTCTGCATAGGGGCGTGTGTGGGAAGACTGAGAACACTGGGATCCCAGTGAGCAGATAGCAGGCAGAGTCCCAGTCTTGTCTCTACCACCAAGCCCAGGATGACTCTGGACAAGTTCCCTCCTCACCCCTACCCGCCCCTCCAGCCCAAGTTTCTTTGTGAAGCGCAGAGCACGGCTGCAGCTGTCCCCCATGTGCCTGGGCCCCAGCGGAGCCCAGAGCCCGCACACCTATGTCTGACACGTGTAGCTCTAGAGGCGGCATGCACATTTCCCAAGTATACTCTTCTAACACTCGCCAACAAGAACGCAGCACCAGAGGGGAGAAGCCACTCAGCCCAGACCCCCAGCCAAACCCTCACTGAAGGGGTCCCTCAGCCTTTCCCAGTCCTGCTCCCTGCCCCTCAGTGAAGTGCTGGCTCTGAGGAGCTGATCCAGTCTCCAGCCAGTCCGCCTGGCCCCAGCCCCCCACTCACTGTGTATAGTCTTCGCCGCAATCTGGCCAGGAGAGGAAAGGAGAGCTCCAGGCCAGGGAACCGACGGGCTGCTGGCATCTCCACGGAGCTGGACCCCTGACTGGGTCCCTTGGACTTTGGCTTGAGAAGTGGGGGTGCAGGGACCTCAGCTTCTAAATTTCAGGTCCTGCCCAGAAGGGAAGCTGGCCAGAGGTCTGCCCTAGGAGCTCCCAAAATCCCACACCAGGGTTGGGATGTAGGGCAGAAGAAGAGGGTAGGTCCCCTTCTCTGCTGCACAGCTGTTTCCACACTGGCTAGTCTGCCAGGAAGCAGGTTGGCTCTTCTCTGGACTGCCTGCAGCCTGAGTCCTCTCTGTCCTGTTTCTCTGTCTTCTCTCCAGAGCAGTGGTCACAGCTCCAGCCCTACTCCCTGGCTCCCCCTCCCGACTGCCCTCCCTCTCTCCCTCCCTCCTCCCTCCCTCCCCAGCTGAGCAGCTCTGACACTGGCTGAAAAAGGACCTTTCTGAATCACTGCCAAGAAGGCGGCGGGAATGGGGGGACTCTTCCTTCCAGCCACCCGCACTGGCCCCCCTGCCTCCCCATACACAAGGCCCCCTGTCTCTGGCTTCCACCCCAGCCCCCATAGTTGCAGACAACTCCTGGGATTTTAGGGTGGGGGCTATGTGAATCAAGCAGCAATGTACAAAGAATGGTTGCAGACTCCCATATGAGCTTATCTGGGGCCTGGGAGCTGGTACATAGCCTGAGTTAGGGGCTAGGACCCCAGAGTCATTCCTGGATCCTGCATGCAGACCCTTTGGAGACCCTCCCCCATCTCCCAGTCCCAGCCTTGGCTGGGCGTCTCCTGGCTCAGGCCCTAATGTGGCCCTGTTACCCTGGTGCCCGACGGAAATAGGAGGCCGGCAGCCTGCCAGAGCGGGGCAGTCCAGCCAAGATCGAGGGGGGGGTGGAGGGGGTAAGGAATCTCCACCTCCTCCCCTGGGGTTGCCTTGTCTGCTGCCCACAACACCCAGGGTACCTCCTCCCCAGACCAGCTGGCCAAGATCCAAAGCCCCCTCAAAACAAACAAATAGGCTCCTAGACCTGGCTGGGATTACCCCCACCCCAAGCTGTAGCATTCAAGGCTGTATGATGTCTCTTGTATAGCACCCATACACACAGACAACAGCCCCAGCTAAAGGGAACTAGAGACACTCCGTCAAGCCCCCATGGGCCCCCCATGTTCCTGGAGCTGATAAATGATCCCTCTGCCCCTCCTCAAGAGAGCCAGCTGCTCTTACACCCCCCTCACCACAGCCCCCTGACACACCTGACAGCTGCAGGAAGTCCTCGCCGGCTCCCTCAGCACCCCCACCCCATCCCCCCACCATGCCCAGGGAGCCCCTGTTTCTTTCACACTGCTCTCTTGTCCCGATCCAGCTGGCGACCAGCACTGAGAGCCCCAGCTGGCTAGTGGGGCAGGCAGCTTGGGTGAGAGTTTGGGGGAGTCAGCATCCCAGGCTCTCTTTCCAAGGCCTCTCTCAGTGTTTGGAGAGGAGGTACCCAAAGGAACAGCCATTTCCTGGCCTGAGCCCCGATGTGGGGGGGCGGGGAGGGGGGGAAGGTGAACACACCCCAGCAATCAGTCCTTCTTCCCCATCCCCCTGTCATCCACCCCCAAAGCTTGTGGAGCCAGCCAGGTGCAGCCTCCCCTCTGTCCAAGTGAATCACCTGTCTGAGGCCGGGGTCACAGATAATGGACAAGACCAGGCAGAGGTCACACTGGAGCGGACTCTTCCCCAAACCCTGGCAGGAAATGTCCACAGCTCAGAAAGGAACGCCCACGGCCTACCTCCCACCAGCACCACTCTGAAGGAGACCCAGGGACCTGATCCCCGGAGACAATGTAAGCAGGATTACTCCCTCAGCTCCCAGGCGGGGCTGCTGGGTTAGAGTGGCCAGATGAAAAACCCCAGGCACCCCCTGAAAGATGCGCCCCAAATGCACCAGAACCCCGTGCCTGGCTCTCCCTCGGACACAAGGTAAGAAAAAGCCTCAGCAGCTTGCTCGGCAATCCAGCTGTGAGAAGCTGTAAGAAAGGAAAAGCCTGGCCAGGGGTCTGAGCTCAGGCAGGTCTGGGACCCCTTGCTCCCAGTCCTGGAAAACAGCTCCCACCTTCTGGCCCGCCTTTGTCCTGTCAGCTATTGCCCTCTGCCGGCCAAGAGAGGAAGTGCTGGATCTCCAAGGAGAAGGAGCAGTGGTCCCATAAATATGGATGCTGACCTTACTTTCTAAAGCAAACGGGGACATTTGGCTTGATGCGCATATGTAAACGGAATGTCCACGGGAATGTCCAGGGCACAGGGATGCAGTGCCCGTAAACGACTAAACCCAAAAGCAAGCCCAAAGGGCAGCTGAATTGGGACCAGAGACACTGAGGCCAATGTCCGCACCAGTAATTCATCACCACTGATTCACCCCACCCCTAACTCGCCACAACAACACCAATGCTTCACCCAGCCTCCCGGGAGTGTAGACACCCCTCACTCCTGGCTGCAGTGCGCAGGGCCGGGCCCTCCGCTCACCGGCAGATGATGGGGGCGAGGGCCCGGGCACCTGACTACCCCCCAGGCTTCCCCCATTACCTGCAGGACCTCCTCGCCCCGAGTCAGGCGCTGATATGCAGCTCTCTCCCCCATGGAACCCAAACTGCCCGCGTTAAGGCCAGGAGGGGAGCAGCGCCCTCCCGCAGCCCCCGCCCCGCCAGCGGCACCGGCGGCGTCACTGCCCTGCGTCCTGCGGGGCCGGGCCTGAGCATCCTCTAGTCTGGAGTCCAGGAGAAGGGCAGGGCCGCTAAAGCACATCAGCCGGGGGGGCTCTGGTCCTAGCCCCCACCCCGCACGCACGCCACGGCCTCCTTTCCACCCCCCACCTGCTGGCAAGAGCCCCCGCGGTTGCTGTCTCTCCCGCTCCGGCCGCGGCAGGTCCCTCCCCCAATCCTGTCCGGTCTGCACCAACCAGCCGCTGCCTCTCCGCAGGGCCACAGCCCGATCCCCAGAGACCCATGGCTCCCCTCGGCCCCTTGGTCTCCGGGATCCCAGAGCTCCACAGCCACCAGGCTTGGCTCTGGGGATTCAAGGGTCCCCATATTCCATGATTGGGGGGGGAGGGGGTCCATCCAAGAAGCATACAGAAGAGAAGCAGCCCCTGTCCTGAACCAACCTGGGACCCCTGCCTCTAGACATGGGGCCTGAAGCCTATCCCTCCACCTGCGCAGCTTCCACTGAGCTCCAGGAATGAGCCCACCTGCCGGCTCCCGGCGGCTCCTCTTCACTCCGCTCCACCCTCTCTTCCAGCACCGTGGGAGCCACACCTCCTCCGGCACCGCTCCAGCCCCACCCCCCTACGCCTCTTCGTAGCCGGGCCTTGACCTCCAGATCGCCCGGGCTGTGCGCGCGGGAGGGCAGGGCAGAGCGCTGGGGCTGACCTCTCCGGCCTCGAAGAGCGCCCCGCGTGCCCACACTGCCTGCCGGAGGAGCTGCTCCGATACCTGCCCACCACGAACTGTCACCCAGCATCCAGGTGAGGCCACAGCTGGCAGGACGCCCACTGCAGAGGCTCCTCCTCCCCGCCAGCCCCCAGGGCTCCGAGGCGAACACACACCCTCTCATTTTGCTGGCATCTGAAGCATCCACTGACTCCACAGTAACAGGTATTTACGGCTGAGCTCAGGGAACTTCACCCCTTTTAGGGTTGGGGCCGAGGAGGAGAGAGATGCTGAGACACCCGGCCACACACTCAACCTCCAGAGTGAGGCAGATCCCAGGCGGGCACTAGGTGAGTTTTCCCTCCTCACAAGCTCCGTGGCAACCCTAAGTATGCCCCTGCCAGGCAGCGGTTTATGCGAGGCAGAAGCTCCTCTGCGTCTTACTGCAGCTACGACAGAAACTAGTTTTGGGAGTAGCTGCAAGAACCCCGAGTCAGATGGCTGTGGAGAAAGAGGCTGAAAATGCCAGGCCCGTTCTTTCTACTCCTGGTTGGGTGAAGGGTCTGATCCAAACCATTCCGCCCTCCTGCTTTTCTCTCCCTTCCTCCTCCCCTGTAAGGCCCCTGCCGTCTTGTCATAAAGATAGCCACAGATCCAATCTGCCTCTAGGATTTGGGGAATCCCGCCCACTCGCACACCTCTCTGGTCTGTAACCTGCCCCCATATTTCTAAAAGGCCGCCGGGAGTAGCCCGGAATCTGCTGTTGACACCCCCCGCCCCCCCAGCCTCTCCAACAGCATCAGTGAAGTGACAAATCCATACTGAGGAGCAGACGTGACATGTAATTTCCGGCCAAGAGGATTTTTCCAAAACAATCTACCGTATTCTCGGGAATATATGCCAATCCCACCTCCAAGCCAGCCCTCTGCCACCTCTGCCCTCCCTCTTCTCCAAGCCCTAGAGGAAAAACAACATATTGGGTAATGCGGGTAGCGCCTCTCTCAGCCAGAGGATTATCTTGCCTTACATGTCAGTCCCACCAAGCCCAGGCAGCCTCAACTCACCCTCTGTGAGCAGGGCCCAAGCTTCTGGATCAAGGCCAGGCTGGTTCCCTCAGGTCCTCATCCCAGAGGGAACTGCATTAGGCAACCCCACACCTTCAGGTCAGCCCAGGTCTGACATCATACTGGTTTGAGGAGGAGGCTGGCCAGGGGCCAAAGGAGAGAAGGGGATGATTCAGATACATACCATGGCTGTTCACACCCTCTCCATCTCCAGGACACAGCAGCCCACTCCCTCCCAGGGGAGCTTGGCATCTGAGAGCCTGAGGACTGGCAAGGCTGAGGCATACTTGGCAGCAGTGCTGGGCCCGCAGGCCCTGAGTCCAGCCCTAGAGCCTCTTCGCCCTTCTCGTTAACTGTTGGTGTTTCCTAAGACTTTTGAACTCTCCCTTCTAGATGGATGTTCTGTTCGTGGGTCATCACCTCTCCTCCTAGAACTCCAATTACCACCAAGAGCTATCTGTCTCTGTTCCCGAGTTCCTGAAGCTCTAGACCAGTGATGGAGAACCCTTTGAGCTCGGCGTGTCAGCATTTTGAAAAACCCTAACTTAACTCTGGTGCCGTGTCACATATAGAAATTTTTTGATATCTGCAACCATAGTAAAACAAAGATTTATATTTTTGATATTTATTTTATATATTTAAATGCCATTTAACAAAGAAAAATCAACCAAAAAAATGAGTTCTCGTGTCACCTCTGACACGCGTGTCATAGGTTCGCCATCACTGCTCTAGACCCACATTTCTACACATTACAGGACAGCCCCACCAGGAGGCCGCGTAGGTAGGTACCACAAGTTCTGCATGTCCAGACTGAGCTCATCATTAACCATTTAAACCTAGCTCATGGGTGCCCCTGTATTCTGATTGAAAATCACAAGCCAACACCAGCACCCAAGCTAGAAACCTCACTCCTGGCCCCCACAGCCATCCTACCTTCCCTAGGCAGGCCACAAAATCTTGTTTCTGCCTCTTTATGATTCCTCCCATCAATACCACTGGGATCTAGGATCAAAATGCAGGCAGGCCTGGGCTGAAATCCTGGCTCCGTCACTTTCTAGTTGGACAACTTTTGGACAAATGACTTACCCTCTAAGCCTCAATTTCCTCATCTGTAAAATGGGGATAAATAATACCTCCTTTATAGAGTGTAGATTCAATGAGATCATGAATGGCATACTTAGCACAGCACCTGGCACACAGTTGCCTATTGTTACTATTGTCATCTCAGCACAGATCTGAAGTCCCTTCCCTGCTTAAAGCTTTCTGTAGCTCCTCTTGAACCAAATACAAGGCCCTTCAGGATCCACTCCTTGTCTATTTGTCCAACTCCATCTCTTACCATTTCCCTTCAAATGTCTCCATGTTTTCAAATCCAGTAAAGCAAGCACCTTCATGGAAAGAGGGGCTGCCAAACTCATTACAGCCCCTCCTGTCCCAGGCCCACTAAGCTACTCTGCTCCCACAAAGCCACTTCAGCCCCAGGGACAACATGGCTGGTCACTCAGGCAGAAGGGGAGTCTTGCACTGGCCTTCCCTTCTCAGGAAGGCCTTCTCAATGGAGGAGAGAGAAAGGGACAGGGAAGAGAGGAAGAGACGGGGGAAGCGGGAAAGAGGGAGGGGGGGGACCCAAAGGGGAAAGGGGAGTGACAGGGAGGAAAGGCAGGGCACAGAAGCAGAGGCAGATACATCAGACAGAGCGGCCCTCCTATGCCTCATCTCCTTAGACCACAATGGAGAAAGAGGTGTAAGGATCTTCAGAGAGGAAAGGATCTGACTAAACATCATGACACAGACCAACACTGAATTCAACACCTCCCCACATGTACCAACTTGGCCTTGAAAGTATTTTGTAACTGTTTCATGCTCCACCAGCTAGAGACTGGCGTGCCAATCCTGACACTCCGAGACAGGACACTGAGAGCCCTAATGCATTCCTGAAGCACTCCTCTCCCCGCAACACAAACACCACTCAAGAGACAGGGTAAATTCCTGCAGCTGCCTGGGTCTTATGCACACCATGCCAATCCTCTGGCCCAGACACCAGCATGGCACCAAGGCCCCGCAGTGTCTCAGAGCAAGGGAAGGATGCAGTTCCAGCAGCCCGGCACTCCCAGAGCTCTTCCAGGGCTGGGCAGAGGACGCCCAGCTAGTCACCCGCATTCTGGCTCAGGCCTCACCCCACCCCCACCCCTGGGGAGAGCCTAGAGCTGAAGTGGCCTATTGTTGGGCCCTGGAGGTGGGGTGGGGAAAGCCAGAGCTGTGTATTGTAAATCATTTACTCTGCTAGGGGGACTGCTCATCCCCATGTTACAACAGAACCCCAGGAGCTAGGTCCATCCAGTGCAGAGCAGGCTGCCGGGCCCAGGAGACGAAGGGTCTGAACCTGGGAGAGAAATGTCAGGGACTTCAAGATATTTAAGATACCATAAATCCCACCATATCCTGCCCACCCATTTTAGCAATAGAGAAACCAAGACCCTAAGTTGGAAGGGACTTTCCCAGTCCAAGGCACTTAAGAACCTGTCATAGGGAATGAATCTCCAGGAGCTGGGGGAGGTCAACAATTCAGAGTGATGGTAATTCTCTTCTGACCATGGAGGAGGAGCAGCCCTGCCAAGATCAGGGACTAGTAAAGGCCAGGGGCCCAGAGAGGAAACCCTAACTCATTAGGAGACAGCACACAGAGGAAAGGCAGAGATAAGAAGAACCCAGTGTTCTCATACCCGCTGAGGCCCTTGGCTTCAGGTTCCTCCAGAGGTAGACCCAAGAGTTCTCAGTGGCAGCCCCCGACAGCTGAGATCTCTCTTCCTGGAACTTCAGGTATCTATGGGTTCCCAGCCAGCCTTTCCTGCCTCTGCCCTTCCTACCAGTCTCTGTGTGGTCTCCACTTTCTGGCCTTGGTTATCAGGGTTCTCTCCAGCTAGTCTTCAGTTGGTTATTCAGGATGTGTAACTGCTTAAAGGAGAGACCAAGCCAAACCTCTCACCCTACGCCCCTCCTCAGTCACTCACATACCTACTATGTTTTCACCTCGGCCTAGGATTTGGGGGAAGTATAACGGAGAAGTCACAGTCTGGACTCTCAAGAAAACCCAGGTTATGTGCAGGTTCTTTACTAAAAGCTTTATTTCCATTGGCCGATTTAAACCCCCACCCCTTACTACATTATTCCCATTTTACAGATAAGAACACTAGCTCTGAAGAGGTGGCCATGATCACCCAGAAAGTAAGAAATGAAGCCAGAATTCTGTACACTTCATTGCTTGGCTCAAGGATGCAGGCCCATGGTGGATAGAGCCGGGTCTTATTCATTAAATGTACGCTGGATACTGAATGAATTCATGGATTCTCTAAGGTTAAAGAGGGAATAAACGTTCTAAGACAGCGGTTCTCAACCTGTGGGTCGCGAACCCTTTGGCAGTCAAACGACCCTTTCACAGGGGTCGCCTAAGACCATCCTGCATATCAGATATTTACATTACGATTCATAACAGTAGCAACATTACAGTTATGAAGTAGCAACGAAAATAATTTTATGGTTGGGTCACAACATGAGGAACTGTATTTAAAGGGCCAGAAGGTTGAGAACCACTGTAGAGAAGACTGTAGATTGCAAACATGCACATAATTTCACTCCTTCCCAAAACTCTACCAATATTACAATTTAAAAAGGAGAAATTTTTGAAAGGCAGAAGTCCCCAAGGATAAGAACAGTAGAGACAACCCACAACAAAACTTTGGAAGCTGGAAAGCAGATGGGCCTGTGACAGTTGAGAGGATGTGTTCTACTAAAACTACTGAGTAAACCAACAAAGGAGAAGACACAAGATACAGGAAACAGAAGACCCTAACACAGAAGGGCTGGGAAGGAAATGCCCAGGATGCTGGAGAGAGATCCCAAGAGGACAGCTAAGCATCATGATAGAAAGCAACCAGTCCATGCTGCTCCAGGACACAAGGCCCTGAAACCTCTTCAGAAAGATGGCTCTGATAGAATACCGAATGGAAAATACCATCTTGATAAATTTAGACAGTGGCTGGAGAGTTCGACTCATTGAAAGATACATAGAAAATTAAGCAAACAGAAAAACCAACTCCAGGGAGAGCAAAAAGTGGTGCAGGGAAGGGAAAGTCATTATAGTTTATTATACCATAACAATGTAAACTCGGACAGTAGAGTGAAGGAAAAAAAACGAGATATACCTAGAGTGGATGGACTGAAAGATGGGAAACATTAAAAGGTGGGAAGGTGGGAATGAGGGAATTAAAGTCAAATCCTCATCTTGGACCAAGATGGAATAATAAAGACCAGATTTAATTTCCTGACTGAAATAACAATAACAGAGAAATAGATAAAATATACAAAATGGTTTTAAAGATATCAGATCTCAGGAAACAAAAGACAGTAATACCCATGAGACAGGAAACAAAGGACCTCAGCCCTACAGTTGGGTTTCCAAACTACAGCCCAGGGAAGGGAACCAGTCAGACTCCAAAAGACTCCCTTAGTTGTGGAGATGGAGCTGAGTGTGGGGATACTCATGTGGCCAGAGTTCACAGAGCAGATCATCAGAAAAGAGAGGGCACCATAAAGGTCTCTGAAGGGCCCCCTCAAATATTCAGCTGAGTTCTGATCATCACATGAATGTACAGAAACTACCCAAGGCTGGGAGGAAAAACACTCAAAAGGATAGAAGTAATAGTGCCTGGTACACACAAGTCTGGGAAAAGTGCCTATTCCTAACAGGTTGGAAAAGCTAGGCATTGAGTAAAATATACAAACGGGTCTTGCCTCAGCAGTGGGGAATTATTAGCCCTAGACTGAGCACAGCTCTGGTCCCACTTAACAAATCTTAAAAACAAGACCCAAGAGGATCACACTACTTCCAAATCACTTAACTATATCCCTGAACAAAGCTCAAGCATATTTAATACACAGCAATCAACAAGAACATTCACACCGTCTGGCAACCAATAAAAAATTAGTAGGCATACAAAAACCTATAATCCATAATAAGGAAAAAAGGCAATCAATCAAAACCAACCCAAAACTGACACACATTAGAATTAGTAGACAAAGACATGAAAACAATTATTATAACCATATTTTTAAAAAGACTATAATTGAACTTCTAGAATAAGAACTACACATGATGAGATGAAAATATAAACTGAACGGAATCAGAGGCAGATTGGACACTGCAGAAGAAAAACTTGAAGACACAGTACTAGAAATTCCAAAATGAAACAGAGGAAAAAAGAGATTCCTTTTTAAATGAACAAAGCATCCATGGGCAGTGGGACAATGTCAAGTGGCCTAACGTGCATGTAATTAGAGTGCTTAACGAAAGGAGACAGAAAATTGGGAACAGAAAAAATATTTAAAGGACTTATGGCTGAAATTTTCCAAATTTGATGAAAACTAAGCCCTCGGACTCAAGAAGTTCAGTGAACTCCCAGTACAAGGCACGTGAAGGAAACTACACAAACACATATCATAATCAAACTGCTCAAAATCAATGATAAAGTGAAAATCTTAAAAAGTAGCTGGGGAAGGCGAGGGAGAAACGTAGCATAAAGAGAAAGAAAGATAGCCCTAACCGGTTGGGCTCAGTGGACAGAGCGTCAGCCTGCGGATTGAAGGGTCCCAGGTTCGATTCCGGGCAAGGGCATGTACCTTGGTTGCAGGCACATCCCCAGTAGGGGGTGTGCAGGAGGCAGCTGACTGATGTTTCTCTCTCATCGATGTTTCTAACTCTCTATCCCTCTCCCTTCTCTCTGTAAAAAATCAATAAAGTATATATTTTAAAAAAGAGAGAGAGAGAGAAAAAGATAAAGATGACAGCACATTTCTTGCAGAAACAATAGAAATGAGAAGACAATGGTACAACATCATTAAAGTACTGGAAGAAAAAATTAACTAGAATTCTATTTCAATGGAAATTTTTTGTTGTTGTTAGTTCATGTCTTTTATTAACCCATATACAATTACTTGTCTCCTGGCTTGTTGAAGCAATAGTTCAGACAACATTTGCCACAATGTCTGTCAAAGTGGCTGGCCATAAAAACTCCAGCATTCATCTAAACAGCACTCCCAACGAAGGCAACTGATTTTGCCATTCTCATCCACTTGGTAGTACTTCAGGACAGCCAGCTTAACCTTTTTTCTCTTATGTTCATTCTTCTGGGGAGTGGTATTTAAGACTTCCTCTTCCTTGTCTTAGCACGACTACGAAGTTTCAACACAAGATGAAGAATAGACTCCTTTGGAATGTTGTAGTCAGACAAAGGATATCCATCTTCCAGTTGCTTGCCAGCAAAGATCAGTCTTTGCTGATCAGGAGGAATTCCTTCCTTATTCTGGATCTTGGCCTTTACCTTTTTTATTGTGTCCAAGGATTCAACCTCGAGAGTGATGTTCTCCCCCATAAGGGTTTTCATGAAAATCTGCATCTTGGCCTTGATTCCACCACAGATGGCAGATCAGAAAGGCAAAATATATTTTTAAAATAAAGGCTAAATAAACTTTTTAAACATATAAAAGCTGAAAGAATTCAGCATCAGTAGACAAACCTACACTACAGTAAATGTTAAGGTCCTTCAGATAAAGGAAAATAATACCATATAGAAATATGGATCTCTGCAAAGAAATGAGCAGCATTGGAAATAGCAACTACATGGGTAAATAGTTAAGATATTTTTCTTATTGTTTAATTACTTCAAAAGATAAATTGACTGTTCAAACAAAAATAATATCAATGTAGTATGGTGTCTATAACATGTATAATTTTTAACAATAACAGCACAAAGAAAGGAGAGAAATAAAAATATACTACTAATATCACTTGGAGGCAGACTATAATAAGTTAAAGATGTATATTATAAATCCTGTAGACATTACAAAAAAACTATCCTCATAAACATAGGTGCAAAAATTCTTAACAAATATGTACTTAGCAAACAGAATTCAACAATATATATAAAGAATAACACATCGCGACCAAGTGGAGTTTGTCTCAGGAATGTAAGGTTGTTATAACATTTAAAAATCTATCAATGTAATTCAACATTTTAGAAACCTAAAATAGATCATTTTGATAAACACACAAAAAAGCATTTGACAAAATCCAACATCCTTTCCTATTAAAAAATCTCAGGAATAGAAGTGAGGTCCTTCACCTGATCAAGGTCATATATGAAAAACCGACAGCTGACATCATGAGTAATTGGGAAAGACTGAATGCTTTTCCCTGAAGATCAGGACCAGGAAATCTAACGTTCTATTCAACATAATACTAGAGGATATAATTAGGCATAAAGATTACAAAGGAAGAAGTAAAACTGTCTTTATTAGCAGATGACATCACAGTCTATATATAAAATCCAATGGAAGCTACAAAAAAGCTACTAGAATAAGTCAGGTTAGCAAGCTGGCAGGACTCAATATTAATATACAAAAATCAATTGTATTCATATATACTAGCAACAAACAATTGGAAACCAAAATTTAAAAAGTAACACCATCTTATAGCAGCATTACTAACAACCAAAAGTTAAGAAGCAACCATCTATGAATGAATCAACAAAATATAGAATATTCATATGATAGATTATTATTCAACCTTAAAAAAGAAGGAAATTCTGACACATGCTACAACATAGATGAACCTTGAATACATTATGGTAAGCGAAAAAAGGTTAAATACTGAATAGAGAGTCACTGTTTTGGAGTGTGTTTGTTTGAGAGAGAGGAAGGGAGAGGGAGAGATAGAAACATGGATGCAAGAGAAGAGAAACATCAATCAGCTGCCTCCTGCACATTCCATACTCGGGAATGAGCCTGAAACCCGGGCATGTGCCCTGACTAGGAATCAAACCAGCGACCTCTTGGTTCGTGGGTCGATGCTCAATCACTGAGCCATAACAGCCAGGGGGAGAGTCAGTGTTTAATAGGTACAGAGTTTCAGTTTTACAAGATGAAAAATATTAAGAAGATGGATGGTGATGTTTGTACAACAATATGAATTTACCTAACAATACTGAACTATACACTTAGAAATGGTTAAAATAGTATATTTTATGTTATGTATATCTATAATAATAAAAGCATAATATGCAAATTAGACTGGACGTCCTTCCGGATGTCCTTCCAGGATGAAGCTGGGGCTGCAGCCATGGCTGGGAGGGAAGGATCCAGGCAGCTGTGGCTGTGAAGGCCTACTCTTGCATGAATTTCATGCATCGGTCCTCTAGTTTTACCATAATTAAGCTAAATAAAAAATTTTAAAATAAAAAATCAAACACCATAAAAAAGTACCATGTACAATGGCACCA